TGTCAAAAACATACCATCAAAACATTAAATGAGTTAACAGTTACACGTTTATGCGAGGGAAAATTCTAAACTGATGTTTCTTTTGCTGCTTAGCATAGACGGATTAAATATATCAGCAATCAATAAATCAATACATCAAGATATCAATAAATCCACGTTTTTCCTTATCCTGACTCATGCTTTTTTGCTTACTATTCCTCTCTTCTGAACAGTTAAGTGGAAACATGAATCCCTTCAATTCCCTTAAAGCGAACGTACAATCACTCACCCTTGAGTTACCTCCCTTTTGGCGGCAAAAGGCACCCTACCTATAATATGTTTTGAAATTTATGTCTTCATATTGTGGTTGTTTTGACATTATTGACTTGTAAATTTTCACATGTGAGTTGAAAATTTAATATTAAAATCACAGAACCGTCTCCCGTTCTGAAGGAGGTTACTTCAGATGCCTCAAGTAAGACGAAGTGCACCTCAGCAGAGACATCATCTGAGCATAAGAAGCATCGGACGTCCTCATCAGCAAAGCTGTCGAGGCAGTCTTCTAGATCGTCGCAGTCAGCGAAGTCTTCGAGGTCGTCGCATCATACCTCTATGCAGCGATTTTCGAGTGACATCCTGATGCCTGGTGCTGAAGCAGACGTCTTTAGGTCTCCCGACCCTCCAGTACTGGAGCCGGAGGTCTTCCTTGAGTCTTCCCAGAAGTTTCCAGGGTTGCTAACCCATCAGTGCAGATCAGACGTACGTCATCACCGATGTCGTCGTTGCAGTCTACCCCTTGCAGTGCTGCTGTTCAATTATCAGGGTCGGCGAACCTTTCTACTAGCAGTCAACTGATGCCAGCGCAGATCCAGTTGCAGCAGCAGTCAACCCAGAACCCGTTAGCGTTTTCGAACGCTACCTCGTTGCCGATGTCTGCAGATGAGTCTGTGGCAGTCATCACACAACAGCGCCCGTCGACCAACGCAGAAGCCTTCAACGCAGATAATTTTGCTGATATCATCACGAGACGGGTGGTCCAGGCCATGGAGAAAAGGTTGGACCTGCAGAAGAAGACGATGATCGAGGGCAATGTTGCAGAGAGCGAGATAGCAGTATCCTGTTCCATTGTGAGAAGCACCGCAGACCAGTCCTTCGTCGCATCAGCAGCAGTCAACGCAGATGACATGCTGCCGGGGTTACCTGTTGATGAAGGGCATCTTAATGAGAACGATGCCTATATCTTCACTGGTGCTGTCTTGGGTGGCTGACGGTCTCCCGATATCGTTGCCGACAAGGAAGTCCAATCCGGCTGAGACCTACTGTATGCGGGAAGATGACTTCAACTTGATGACCATTTTGCCGATGAAGCCTATTGCTCAGGTAAGCAGACAACCTGAAAGCAGCGTTTGGTTCAGCATTTAGGACACAGGGGCAGCATACTCCGCCGTTCAGCGCAAGATAGTTCTGGCATCACAACATGGACCACTTCACCAAGGCGCCTGAAGTAGATGAGGACTTCTACCTGTTGTCCGATTTGAAGTCCCGAAGCCACAGGGTGGAAGATAAGAAGATGGCGCAGCTAGATACGACAACCCGCAGGGCATTCTTTGGGCTAGCGAGGTCCAGAGCCATCAAAGAGGCGCTTCTGTGCGCTTTCAAGAACCTTAAGACGGAGGAAGAGTGGATGATCCTGTCTACGCTTGTCGCCCAACTCAAAGATCAAGAGTTTATCTCCGACCATTTGGTGTCTATGTCGGCGAGTATCACTCTTCTACGACGCTGATTTCCTGTACATGGCTGGACATCTACACCAAGTCTCTTTTAAGGAAGCCTTAGCAGTGCCTACCTTGTTTGACGGCGGCATCCGGCAGTTATCCCGTGAAGTGTCGCAAGACCGACTTGATGTTTATCAAGTCTGTCCAGACGATGAACAACATTTTTCGACAGTCGTCTCAGCGCATTCAATTCTGGTCCCACTTCTCTGGCATACAGAGGCCTAAGGAGAAGAAGTTTCCAGCAGCTAGGGGCAGTAACCCGGGGTCTTTCCAGCAACAACAGAAGTTACTCTGGTCAGGAACTCGGAGGTCACGTAATTGATGTGTAGGTTCGGAACGACTGGTTCCTTCCACCTCCAAATGCAGTCGATGCCGCCGCTGACCATAAACCCTTTGGTCCTCCGGTTTCCAGAGTTGCAGCGGGCCAAGCTAACTGAAGCCATTGACTTTTTGCTGACGGAGGAGGCTGTAGAGGTCGTCGATCAACGCAGACTTATGCCCGGGGTACTACTCTCCAATTTTCCTGGTACCCAAAAAGAACTACACAGAGAAGTTTTGCCTCTTTGAGTGGCATTTTAGAAGTTGGGAAGTACAATATAGAACAAACTGAACTGAAAGCAGTAATAGAAGCAGTGCATCATTGGGCAGCGCAACTGAGAGATCAGGTCCTGATTATACACACGGACAGCTCGACGTGGCCTTCTACATCAATCTGCAGGGGTCCACAAGATCAGCGCCACTGCTTCGCCTAACGTTCCAGCTGTTTGACATCACAGATGATATCAACCTGAGGATGAGGGCCTGCCACATCCCAGGGGCGAAGAAAGTCAGACCAATGCGTCCGTCTCCCACAGAATGGATGCTACATCCGGAGGTGTTCCAGCTGTTAGCAGTCGAACCTGGATGTCCTGTCATCGACCTGTTTGCAACACGCTGTTTGCAACCACTAGGGGCCAACATTTGTCTTGCCAGTACCACATCCGCTAGCTTGGGCTGTCGACGCCCTAGCCGTATCCTGGGAGGGACTGAATGATTACGTGTTACCTCCACCGATCCTGTTACCACAAGTATTACACAAGATCAGCCAGACGAGGGTTCTGCAACTGACTTTGGTCGCGCCTTACTGGTCGGCGAGATCCTGGTTCCCAGACCTCAGGGCAACACAGTGATCCAGTACTATGACTCCCAGATTGGCCAAACCTGCTCATCCACCCCCACACCAAGCAGAAGCAGGGCAACCCAGAGGCATTCCAGCTACACGTATGGAGCATAATACTTACTGCTTGCAGAGACGAAGGTACTCCACCAGAACAGCCAAGGCAGTGACTTTGGCTCTACATCGATCTACACATAACCTATATGACGACAAGTAGAGAAGTTTCGACCAGTATGCTGTTCGTCAGGGGTTCACGGCCAGAAAAGCAACACATCCACAAGTAGCTGACAACCTGTGTCATCTGCGGTCTACTAGTCATCTGAAGGGATCTACAGTGTCTACTTACTTGGCGGCAATCAGCTCAGTCATCACCATGAAGACAAGTGAAGCTGACCAAGGTTCCAGAATTAGTGGCCTTGCTTAGATCCTTCAAGTTAGAAGATCACCAGCAGAAGTTCAGAGCATCAGCATAGGATCTCAACATAGTTTTGCAGCATCTCATCAGTGAGGTATATGAACCATTGACGCAGACATTTCAGTTGCTGACTCAAAAGACGCTGTTCCTCCTCACCTTTGCAACTGCTGCTCGGATGTCACATATCCACGCCCTTGACTTCGGCCGTACAAGATATTTGACACCCGGAGAGAGGGCTGATGTCCATCTAGGCCTTAAATGGGACTTCATTGCTAAGAACCAGCTTCCGGGTCAACCGGATCGTCAGTTCCACGTGCCGGCGTTATCAACCATCTTGGGTCCAGAGGACACTCAAGACCTGTCCTTATGCTCGATCAGAGCCCTGAGGGTGTACTTGCAGAGATCTGCTGCAAGAATAAGGAAGTTCAAGCGTCTCTTTATCCCACTATCAACCGCCATGACTGCAGAAGTCTCCCAAACTACGGTCTCCTTTTGGATCAGAGCAGCAGGGTTAGAGCCACCGAGAGCATCGAACCCACATGAAGTTAGAGCACTGGCCTCGACACTCGCCCTACATGGGAACTGCTCGATATCATCCATCATGGAAGGCTGACATCGTCTTCGCCAACCACTATCTACGAGACATTGCTACTGAAGATGTGTCCGGTATGTCTCAATTCGGGCCACTAGTCGTAGCGCTACAACTCACTATGCCAGCCAGATGTTGAAGAAATCTCACCCTTGTCACACAGATTCGTTGACACCTGGCAACTGATCCATTGCCACGGGACGTGAATCCATGTTCCCCTGTCTTTCGAGATAAGGCAGCAGATGAGTGATATAGACTCAGTTTTGGTGAAGTCCTTACCTAAACATGGGTCGTTCCAGATATCTAGACAACGAGGTGTCTAAGTTATCTAATCCACCAATCTGAATGATTACTTATAATACTACGCATAAGAAGGTGGTCCCCGGTTGAGCATCAACAAGAATTACAGAATGCAGCCGCGAAAAGAATTCCCAAGGGGTATAGTATACATAATCGAACGCTGACGTGAATACAATCAAGCAGGGAATCCCGTAGGTGGCTGACCCACCACCTATTCCATCGGATTTGGTAAGCAAAAAAGCATGCGTCAGGATAAGGAAAAATATGTAATTGATATGATAAATATTCATATTTCATACTTATCCTGACCCATGAGATCAAGCCCTCCCAACCATCCCCTCTTACCACTCGGGCTTGCCTGTTTGCCTGTGTGTGGGTATATTCGGAGAGAGTGAGAAAAAGGCGTGCGCAGGTCACGTGGGTGCCTTTTGGCGCCAAAAGGGAGGTAACTCAAGGGTGAGTGATGGTACGTTCGCTTTAAGGGAATTGAAGTGATTCAAGTTTTCACTTAACGGTTTGGAAAAGAGGGATGAGTAAGCAAAAAAGCATGAGTCAGGATAAGTATAAAATATCAATTTTATCATAAAAATTACATTTTTCCTTCTTAAGCTTGTTTTGTTTCTCATAAATCCCAAACTTAATACAACCCTAAAAACGTAAGATATGGGTGCTCACAATTCATTCACTACTAATGATTAGAGTATATTTCTTTTCAACGCACAATACAAACAACTCAAATCGAGTCCTATTTTGAGAAATGTCATGTTTTCCATTTTCATTTTTCAGATTGTAACACACATAGCACCTCGACCATTAGATCAGGTAGGTGACATCTATAAATTGTAAGTAATTGAACGGTGTTTCATAAACGGTCACAAAACAATCCTGAACACTCAGATTAACATCGAATTAGTTTTGAATTCTTTTGAATGGTGGTAGAACGGTATAAGGCTCAGTAACTTACTGTGCAGAATTCAGCTATTTAATTAGTCATGCAAATATCCAAAGATTGTGGTGCTTGTATCTCAGATTAGCCATGGTTACGATCCTAAACTCACCCTTAACCTCATTTTTTAACAATGTGTGAAGCCCATTTCTGGTGTCCCCTGCCATGATTTTGCTGGAACATTGCTGAAAACCTTTTAAAAGTAAACTCACTCACTTTTCCACAACAGACGATGTGTGATTCAGCTTTGATGCTGTTGATTTCTCGGAATTCTAACAAATGATGATGTATTTTGCATAATGTGATATACTGACTCTTACTGATTTTCCCCTTTATGTTTCAGGTGAAGGAACACCCAAGCCCACACCGGCAGGTAAGCTTCCCTCCACATCTATGTATGCTCTATGACTTTGTGTACTGTTCTGTTTTGTCTCAGAGATATCGTGACTATCAAACACCACCCACCAAAGACATTTACATGAACTGTTCTCTTCCATGAAAGTATGTTTAAATTTTGCTTGTTCACATGACCAAACTACCTACAACATTGGACAAAACCAGACAAAGCATATAACTTAGTGTTGCACTGGACAGCTGATTCTCCCATAATATCAGTTTTATCCACACCCATTAAGAATATAGATCGTTTTAAGTGTATACATACAAGTTCGATATTTGGTGATTGTACACATATATCCAAAGATACAGGTGATTTTGTCTTCTAAAAATCTTAAATGTGATTTTAGGTAACTATTTTGTTTTTCATTTATTGCAGAGGATGCTAATACCTTAGCTATTGTGTTGGGAGTTCTTATATCTTGCGTAGTAGCTATTGGACTACTTGGAGTGTTTGGATTATGGAGATGGAGGAGAAAAGGAGACACAATAGAGGTAATCCACTAATAACTGTCTTCCAAGTAATTCAGTGTAGGTTCGTATTGGTTATCCCTGCATAAAACTGACATTGTTCTTGCTAAACTATTCTGAAGAAATACACAACTTTGTTTGAAAAATTGACCAAGATTTTGAGTGAGAAAACATTTTTGCCCTATGAAACAGGATACAAAGCCTCTTTGATGAGGTAAGCTGTTTTCCTTAGACAATACTTGTGAGGCGAGTGTATGCAGCTACCATAACCTCAGTAAGATTATTCTTAAAATAACAAATATATAATCATGAACTACACTGTTTATTTTTTGCTTGTCCTCAGGTCAGAGAGAGATTCCTCTGAAACAGCAATACCAATGTGTGTCTGACAAAAGGAAGAGAAGCTGAACCTGAAGAAAGGAGGCCGATTAGATATTTGAATGTGTCTGGCACAAGAAAAAAAATGGTGATTTCCAAAAATTTCCAATTTGGAAACATCATGTTTCCAAAAATGTCCAAAATTGGAAATATCATATTTTCAAGGCTTGGAAATTTTTTTGAAATTTAGGAAGGATTTTACTACCACTTCTTTCAATTTCTCCTCAACCCAAGTATACCCATGAGTGTATAGATATTTCACTCATCTTTTGTTCTGTTCGAGTTCTTATTGTTGATATACATAATGCATCTTGCATGTGACATATTTATTCATGAGAACTGCAGGAATAGGCCGTATTTTGATATTATCCATTTGTGCTTTATATTAATGTAATTGTGTCTGACGCGTGAAGAGTTTAAAGTAAGTGTTTTTTATTCGCCGTCCTATGCGATCAACTGGGAACCAATTCTATATAATAGTATAACTTCACTCATCTTCATCCTTCTTGTTCTAAGTGTCAAAAATTGATATTGACTGTCATATTTGCCCCCTAGTATTGCTAGCATTTTCTAAAATACTGTTTTAAGTGTATGTTTTACTGTTATCCACAGAAGCGCAAATAATGTTTCCCTTTTCACTGTTTGTATAAACACAACTTACATAGACCTACGTTTCATTATGGATTAAATAAAAGTTTACCGGACTCACTGACTGACTGGGCAGGGTTTATTACATGTCATAAAAGTGAACCCTTGCCAGGGAATAATAGACATATCGTTGTAGAATACATTCTCTAATTGGTACCGTCTAGTTAACACCTGTCACAAGGGATGGGCCGTTTGGGTTTATGGTCAGAGATGGTGTTATGCAATTGATGTATTCACGAAATATCATGAACTTGTTAATAGATAATTGCTTATGTTGTCCACACACGGGCGGACTTAGGCAAAAACGGTGGTATCTTGTTTTGCCAGTCGGGCAAGTTGTTTATTTAAAGAGTAAGAGGATTATGAGGCATGGTTGACTGGGTTTGTTTGTTTAACTAATCCCACACGGCCTTCACTAGTAGAGGGAATGATTTTGGTTAAGTTATTACATGGCTGTTCTCCATACATCTCCATGTTCCCCATACATCTCCATGTATCTAGAACAGCAATAACTAACAATGCTGTTTTACTGTAAGGTATATTAGGTGCCATGTTATGGCAAGTCTTCACTTTATCCCATGATGGCAAATGCTTTGGTGAACGTTCAGTTTGTTCCAAATGGTCGAGGTGGTAGAAGTTTAGTGTATCAGGGATATAAGTTTCGAATTATGACTAGCAAGCGGGATACAACACATTGGAGATGTTGCTATCCTTCTTGTTGAGCAACAATTAACACCAGGGACAACTTGATCACAAGCTACAGAGACCATTTCTTTGTCGCCCTCAAGGATACAGTGAGAACAGACCACAGGCCATTTACACAAGTGACACAAGTGGACTATCATTTGTATTTTTATGTTCGTGATACATAAATTGATAAATTACTAATCACAATCATACATGACACATAACATACATAACTGTACACAATGTTTAGCATTATGTAACTGCGTAAATATAAGAAATTGATAAGGTGCTAATCACAATCATACATCATCAATGTCCACAATGATGGTTCATACACAATTGACTTTAAAGTCAAACAAGATGAGAAACAGCATCTCCATATTCTATCATGGTCTTCCTTCCTGCTTGAAGATGGTCTTTTTCTCTCCGTAGTCTATCGTTAAGTTCTCTGTATTTTCGTTTTCTGGGTCATTTATGTATGCTGAACATAAAAATACAAATGATAGTCCACTTGTGTTTTCTTGGCTTGGTCATCTCCTCAGTCATCCCCCATCATTGTCTTGCTAATTAACATGGTCTGGTGATCATCTTAATCCATAAATAAACAACTTGCCCGACTGGCAAAAGAGGAACGTCCTGCAAAAACAACCCAAATGAATTCCTTCTTTAATAAATTATAGTGTAACTAATTAATGTGGTCATTTACAATGAAAGGTGACTAAATGTTTAATACATTATTCACTTTAGATCAAGTTGAATAATTTCTAGAGAAATCAGTACACAAGTTCATATCACAGATGATTCCAGAGACAAATAGTTTATGAGATTCTAGTTTATGAAAAGCATTAAAGGGCCACTGATCCAGAGCGATTAATGTTTCTCGCTAACAGTCTAATTACGAAACCTAGCTGCAAACAGGTCAGCCCCTGTTCCCTCGACCGTGACGGACGCGGGGACCCTGCTACTGTCCGCCTTGGCAGAATTTCTTCAACCTAGTCAGTGGGACATTAGGAAGGGTGGATGCCCATCAGATGCCATTATTTGAAACTATCCCCCGCAGTTCTTGTCTGATTGTAATAAAGTATCCCAGCAGTGTAGGCTTTTTCAGATTTTCAAATGTTTGGATGGTTTAGTGACTGATCCAAATTGATCCTATTTCTGTGTTTTTACCTCAATATTTAATCTTGTAAGAATATGATGTCTATTACGTATGCTATGATATCAAAAACACACATTAGATATATTTGAATCCATAAACTAAACACCCCCACTTTGCCATTGCAAAATAAATCTGAAATTTTACTTAGGTACATAGGTATATACAGTTTTTAACTAAGTACACAGCAAATGCTTATATAAATTTCTTATGTAACAATGAAGTTCCGTTCGTATCCTCAAAACAGTGTTGGCCCATAAGTTGTATTTTTCAGGCAATCAAACTTGCATGCAATACAGCGATTACTACTCTCTTGCTGTAACCCTTGTTTGGTGGTAAACCTAAAAAAAGGTTATTTGTCATTATTCACTTGGTCAGTCAATGAATTTATAAAAGGTATAATTAGTGATAACACCACTCAGATTACCCAACAAAGGTTCCCATTTGGCACTTCTTGTGTCTGGAGTAAATATTTATCATTATAAATTGAGGTCTGATGTGGCAAAAGTATTACATCTTATGTAATACGCGCATGGAAGTGCAGTAAGAGGAATTATCAGCTGAGTTACAAAACAAACATCGATCAAATGATTAACCGATAACACGCTGATTGATTAAGTGCTTTTATCCTGCACAGCGGATTTGTCAAATGGTAGTGTTTATGTATGTAGATTCACTCATCTATTCTGAATACACTCTGTCGTAAAGTGCCTGTGTAAAAACAACGTCCTTCCTTCAAAGGATTAACCGCCAATACATTGATTGATTGCTCATTACTGGCAAACTAAATTACTTTTTTAAAGAATGGCGGACATCATGCAATTAGTTGCCAGGTGTGCTATCTTGGGTGACCAATGGGACTATACACCAATGTGAAAAACCTGAAACAATAACTCACTTTTTCGCTTATTAGACTGTTAAAAGACACATGACATGGAACAGGATACTTTGTCAGCTGCAGATGAATGGCATCTCATTCCTTTATGTGGATATTGATGGATACATTCCCCGAACTAGGTAATAGCCTGATATTGTTGCTATAACTTTAGTCTGTTTTAATTTTAATATTTGCATTTTGTTTTTATGTATTTGTTATGACATTCAACAGAATCATTTTTTTTTTGCCGTGAAGTGTAATGAGACGGACAACATACACTAGGTCGCACTTAGGGCGTGTGTGTGAAATATGATACACGCTGGCAATTTATATAATGTCTAGATATTACAATCTTGTTATAAATTCACTAAGTATAAGCATTCTATTAAGTTTCAAAGTGCATACAAATATGATAGTAAACTAATTAGGATTATAAGACAAAATATAAAGACGTACATTGACTTCGTTATAAGTCCTAACATTTTTTACCACTGGCAGATGGTTAAACTTAAAATCTTAAAACCTGCATTGAGAATCGTAATCCAATGCTTGTTTGATCAGCATTCTTGATTTACTCCCACTTTGCCAGTAGTTAATCCGACTACATTGCATTTGCACAAAGCGTTGACGTTACACAGATTGATGTTATTTGTAAAGACATTGAAAATGTAAACGCTGAAAATATTGACTATTGTGTAAATATTGTTTGTTTGTGATAAAATTACGGGTGTTATACAAAATGCAGCAGCTTCTGCTTTCGGCTTAAAAAGAAATTTCACAAGAGCTCAAAAGAACCGTAAATTCAACGAACCATGGTTTAATGCAAATTGTAAAATTATGCGCAGACATTATCATAAATGTAAACGTGCTTATAGACGTAATGGCTCACAACAGAGTAAATCAGCGTTTTTAAACGCTAGCGAAAGTTACAGTAAAAAGTTAAAAAAAAGCCTTTTCAAATTTCAAAAGAGAATGTGCAGAAAAATTACGTTCCTCAAAAAACTCTGATTCTAAATCTTTTTGGAACATTTTGAAATCTTTTGACTCCAAACAAGAAGCGCAGCCAGTGATTGATATTAATTCATTTTATACTTTCTTTAAGGATTTAAACGCTGCTAAGGGTGTTGATAACGATGGTGTTAAAAACGTTGCTGGTGTTCATAACGTTGAAAATGTTAATAATGTAGATAACGATGTAAATATTCATGATGTAAATGATGTTGATGTTGCTTCGACAAGCCTGTATTGTATATAGTAGAATATTAGATGCTCCTTTCACTGATAAAGAAATACTTAAGTCTGTACATCAATTAAAAAATAATAAGGCTTGCGGTTTAGATAAAGTGTATAATGAGTATATTAAGGGTACGATCAATGCACTGCTTCCTGTTTATGTAAAGTTATTTAATGTCATTTTAGAGTATGGCGTAATGCCTGAATCGTGGCTTACGGGTATGATAAGACCAATTTATAAGAACAAAGGGAACAAAGCTGACCCCAGTAATTACCGGGGAATCTCAATATTAAGCTGCTTGGGTAAGCTGTTCACTTCCTGAGTAAGAGACTACAAGCGTACTCTGATAAGGTCAGCCTGATAAGTGAACCTCAATCAGGGTTTAGAAAGGGTTACTCAACTATTGACAATATGTACGTTTTAAAATCTGCAATTGATATTTATCTTAGCCAAAATAAGAAATTGTATTGTTGTTTCGTTGATTTTAGCAAAGCTTTTGATACTGTGTGGCGCTCCGGTTTATGGAGTAAGATGATTAAATATAATATTTCAGGTAAATGTTTCCTTGTCATACGTAACATGTACAAATGTATTAAGTCATGTGTTTCATACAATGGTCATACCAGTGATTATTTTCATTGTTGTTCTGGTGTTAGACAAGGCGAAATCTCTCCCCATTTCTCTTTGCATTATACCTAAATGATCTGGAAGAGTATTATGCCTTGAACATTTGAATAGTAACATTCATCATGATCTCGGTATCTATTTAAAACTTCTTCTGTTACTCTATGCAGATGACACAGTTTTATTCGCAGAAAACCCTACTGACCTAAGCAAATGTTTATTTTTATTTGATGAGTATTGTAAAAGATGGAAATTAACTGTAAATGTTTCTAAAACAAAGATAATAATTTTTGGGAGGAGGCCTGACAAAATACACCATGTGTTCAAGCTACAACAACAAAATATTGAATCGGTCTCAGAATATGTATATCTTGGTATTTTATTTACTCTGTAAAGCTCATAAGAGAATTGTCGAACAAGCCTCAAGAGCAATGTATGCGATTTTTAGAAAATTACGTTTGTTAGATATTCCCATTGATTGTCAACTTAAACTGTTCGATAACCTTGTGCAGCCGATTTTGTTATACGGCTCAGACGTCTGGGGCTTTGAGAAGAGTACTATCTTAGAAAGGGTTCATTTAAAATTTTGTAAATATATATTAAAAGTTAAGCAATCAACACCAGATTATATGATATATGGTGAACTGGGAAGAAATCCAACAGATATACTTATAAAGGTTAGAATCATTTCATATTGGTGCAAACTAATCTCATCAACTAGCACATTGTCTAGTATTTTATATGGGATCATGTTTACAATGAAAACGAATGACCCAAACATATATTTACCTCTTATCAATGTTGTTAAAACAATTTTGGAATGTTCTGGCTTAAACTATATATGGATGTCTCAAACCTGTACAAGTAAGATTTGGCTTAAAAGTAACATTAAGTCCATATTATGTAACCAGTTTTATCAACACTGGAACGAATGTAAATCGAAATCTACTAAAGGCCACTATTATAATATGTTTAAGATATCTCCGTACCTTGAAAGTTATCTATTACACCTCCCATTAAATGTAAGCATTTGTCTTACCTATATTAGAACTTGTAACCATAAACTTTCAATAGAAACAGGTGGATGGTATAATATTATTAAAGAAGAAAGATTATGTACACTGTGTAAGAACACAATAGGAAATGAACTTCACTTCATGTTATATTGTCCATGTTTAAGTAATGTAAGAAATTCATTCCTACCAAACTATTATTGTAATTATCCATCATTAGATAAATTTATATCCCTCATGTCTTGTAAGCATAAAGCACTATTGTTAAAAATAAGCTACTATGTGAAAACCGGACTACGTATGCTCCCATGAAACAAATCTCTACATTTGTATTTTTCTCTATGTCACTATTGCTAAATCTTCATGAGAATAAACCATTCATGACTACAGTTAACGAATATCAGATTATAATTAACACCCTAATTAGCAAGGTCATGTCTGGATGGTTATTGCCAGTTTCTGAGGTGTCCTCTCAGCCTGTCCTCATATCGCCTACATCACCGTTTCGCCTACAGTCTTATCAAAACAACTTTATGCACCATTGCACACCATTTCCTGCCTATGTTACCCATGGAATAATGGACCAGCCTAAGGGATAAGAAAAACAAACAAATGTATGTGATTCACATTACTTTAATACATTAATAACTTTGATTTTAAATTAAAATAAATAAAGCACTTCATTGTCATCAGGAGCACACAGAGTTATGAGTTTGATTGAATTGAGTTCTCAGTTTAGCTTGAGGATGTGGCCAACAGCATCAAGGAACTGCATCACAGACTTCACACCGGTGGAAAGCTGCACCTTGAGTCTCTCGATCCTCTGATCTCGACCACGGTCTACACGCGTTTCGTGGTCTCCTTGCTCCTCCAAGTCCAAACTGTCGCCTTGTGCCTGTCTGCCTTCTCGATCTTCTTGAGCTCCTTTACTTAATTGGTAGATGTTGGGGTGTGATCGGGTATGCGCTTTCTTCAAGCCAGAGTGGAATCCCTCAAGATGGTTGTTTTGAGCTGGCCTGTGTTTTCGTGCTGGTTCCAGATGTGTGCTGGGAACTTGGCATCATCTTCAACCCAGGTGCTGGTGACGAGTCGTTGAAGGCTGCTACTCTGTCGCCGCCGGGAGACTGCTCGATGACTTCAAACCAAGCATCTTGGACCTGGTTCAGGGAAGGAGTGGCAAAGCAGCTGCTCGCGTCGAACGGGCTTGGACTGCTGGGTTGTTCATGTAGTCGCGAGACAGTCCCCTCTCCAAAACTTGACGCCACAAAGCTTGAGAATAATGGAATAGGCAACCTCGGACGGAACTGTCGGGAAGACTTCACTAATAGCACTGATAACTGCTGCTTCATAGTCGATCTGGAATATTTCTGGTGAAAGTTCGATGCCAAGTCGCCTCACAACAATATCCTTCAGCAAAGTGAAAAGCCTAACATACGTCCGCTTGGTCTTGTTGGGAAGCAACGCGAAAAGTTTACAGGAAACATTTTACCATTCACCAGACAATGAATGATGTACACTTGTAGCCACAGGTTAGGACACACAAAGAATGTACCATCCATAAAGAGAATGTCAGCGCCGCTCAATAATTCCAGCATCTCGGTTGTAGCAAACAGCAAAGTCTGTCATCTTCACCGTCGCTCTACACAGAGGAACTCTCGGCCATCATCGGTCTGGGTCCATATTCCTTCTAGAGTGACGCCAGCCCTGCTCTCAGGCAGTGGTGGGATGGACTTGGCTCTGTGTCTGTACAGTGCGCCTGATATTATTAGAGTACGCGGGTGCAGTTATGCATCATCTTCATCAAGGAGGTCGAGCTCGTTGTTGTAGATCTGCAGCACCGTGAGATGTCAGTCTTTACACGCTTTACACGGGCTTAATTTTAGTCGGATGTGTTCTCCATTCTCAAAGGGTGGGTGGCTGTGAATAGTGGAGGACACTACACGTGGTCTCCGATGGTGCTGCTGCGACCATTGCATCCTGTGAGGACACACTTCCAGTGTGTAGCAACCTGTCGCTGACATTGAGCCTGTACCGTAGCCTGCATACAGTAACTGCTGTCCACCTCTCTGTGAAGTCACTTAACTCAGCTCTCTGGAGATTTGCCATTTTGATACCGACTAAAGATCAGTGGCATGTATATATACTTTGAGAAAATTATGTTGAGATGACCCCTCATTGCAACCACAACAGACCTAATTATAATCTTTTTACTTTTATAAGATAAATCTTTTTGAAGTATTAATTCTAATCAAAACAATGGGATTATCTCACCCAGGGGTAAGCATAACCCCCTTCACTAATATCCTTCACTGTATACTTAAAACAAATCATGTATCAATAGTAACTTCTCAATAGTCTTCTCTCCCATTTAGTTGCATTCGATGAAACTACAGTGGAATAGGGCCATTCCATTCCCTGAACAGGGTAGATGGGATTTGACAGGATGTTTATATAAGCTGTAGGCGAAATAGTGGTGTAGGCGATATGAGGTCAAACCGTCCTCTCACGCAGCCAGATTCTGTCAAAACAGGTCTCTCACATAGCCAGAGTGGGATCTGGCTGACCAGGGTTAGTGTTTTGATAAAGCATGTCCAGATGAGCCCTATAGTCCTATAAACTCCTGAAAATTGATTTAGTTTTAATTCAAATGAAATTTTAAATACTTAATTATTCAATAACACAAACATGCAGGCTCAAATTTACTAACTGGCCTTTTAATTGATACATAAGTAATTAATAGGGTGAGGGAAAGTCCTGACCGTTACCATTTCTTAATCAGAATAAGGATTTTGAAATATACATGTAATTCATAAAAATCATTTAAAGATGGCATACACAGCTTTTACACCGACTTAATCAAACTTGAAGGTAAAAACTATCATCATGAATCTTGAAAGTGTTATTTTGAATCTTTCATTTATTTACCACAAAATAATTGCATTTTTCTAAAACATTATTATGCATATAGTTTTCAACAGGTAAAATTGTCTAAAATAAACATCAGCTACTAAGCCCAGAACATCTTTTGATGACACCAGCATAAAGAGGAGTGTTTCATGTATTATCATGAATTAATTACAGCAGTCAATTAACACCAGTAACGGTTAGGACAATAGTGGTAACGGTTTAGACAGGAATGGTAACTGGCTGGACATAAACCTTAAAAAAATTTAATTCAACATAGAAACAGGTAACATGAAAGGAAAAAATGATATCATTTATTTCAATTGCTAACCCTATTTTGGACAGACAGTGAAATGTGTATTAGAAATTGTAACTTGTAACAAATGTGACATGTTTTCTTCCATGCTGTGGTAACGGTTTGGACATTTGTTATATCAATATGAAACTTGTGAATGAATTTAGGCTTTTGAATAAAAACAAACTGTAGCTTCTAAAGAATAGAAAAACACACCTGTCTAGGTTGAAAATCACTTATAATCTAAAGAAGAGTGCAATTGGGGAACGAAAATTGAATGAATAGTAACGGTTGTGACATTATTGGTAACGGTCAGGACATCAGTGTAACAAACAATGTTATCCCTCTAAAAAAGTTGCAAAAGATTAAATTCTGAAAGATACTGCAACAACTATGATACTGTACACATGGTCATGCTACACAGGCCACTGCATAGATATCATTTTGCTGTTGATATTATGGTGCAATATTAGTCTCCACAAATATACTTCTTTCATTCACTTGGATACCTTTAGTTTTTGTTAATCGTGAGATGGTAACACATATTTATCAAATACAAAGGTTTGGCCAACATATTAGCACCTAGCAAATATTCAAAGTAAATGGTAGCCTTACATATCTCACAGTTAAAGTTAAAACAGTTTACACCCAAAAAATCTTTAAAGGTTGGAATACTGAAAGTTGTTTACCGTTACTACATTTTGTCCAAACTGTTACCATAGATGTCCTAACCGTTACCTTTAATTTATAAAGACTATAGATCTTATAGAAAATAGAAACATAACGTATTAAATTCGTTTTGGTTTTTATTATTTAAAGCAGATAGATAAGTAAACAGAAAGTTATTATCACACCATGGAACATATTCTTTAAAATAGAAATTTATTAAAGATATGTCCAGACCGTTGCTATTATTTGTCCAAACCGTTACTAGAGACTGTGTTTTTTTATGCTACTACATCAAAACTCCTTTGAACAGTAAAATTCCATGCTTAAACTTATCTTAACCCTAAGAGTAATTATAAATTTGTTATATTTCAAATATTTATGAACAACTTTTTGAAAAACAAATAATTTTGTCCAGACCGTTACAAGGACTGTCCAAACCGTTACTTTGCAGAATGGTAACGGTTTGGACAGTAACGGTCAAGACAATTTGTAAGTAAATCTAAAATAAAAAAATGAATGATCCCTAAAAGATTTCAAAGGACATGCCTTCCACCTTTTCCATTTTTGGGCAAAATATCCATTGAAATGAAAAAAAACAAAGAGATATATTTGACACAAAATACATTGGTAACGGTCTGGACAATTAAGGTTGACACAAAACATTTATACTTATTTGATGGCGTCAATTTTCTGCAAAATGTGTTGAATTTCATTATTTCATCTGCTGTCACATGCACAGGGGCTAGCTCAAGCAGACACAGGAAGTTGAATTACAATCCAGCTCCAGGGGGAAGTTATTGCAGGAATTTCATACACTGGTAACGGTCAGGACACAAAATCACAGGACAAGCATGTTACAATTTGTAGAAAAAAACCTTTTTAAGTTAAAACAAAATTAAATGCAGTTTGAGTATGCTTGATCAATCCTAATTGGCATAATATGAATTAGTTTGTTTATTTGCATTTATATTTACATTATTTGTGAACATTGATATTAGGACCGTCACCTCCGGACAGAGCAAATCTGCAAATTTTGACCCTAAAATGTGGCTAAATATAAATTTCAAAATGACAAGACTAATCATATACCACATTTACTGACTAGTAAACATCTAAATATGTTTTCTAGCACAAAAGAATCCTTTTAAGTTAACAGGTTTTTTTTATTTGGAACGGACAGAAAATCCTACCAATTTTGAAAATGACCCATATATTTTTGTAAATTTTGTAAATCCCCAACTAATCCCCTTTGTTGCACCATTAAAGTTAATTCATTGCTTGACAATGAAACTGGCAAAGTGGGAGGACACCACATTCTTAAAGTACGACTTTACAAATGCCAATTTCTTGTTGATGCATAGATGGGAGTTTCCATATTTATTCCCACACCGTTATCAATATAAAAGTTACTACAACCGGGTGAATAGAAGTATATATGCATAATGACAACCAGCAAATTAACAGATAATTTAGCAAGTAGCACATCGTTGGATGGAGGCTGCAGGAGAGTATGATCAACAAATTGTAAACAGGCTGATTGGATGCTAATTGAACAACTGATTGACAGAGTCTAGCTGTAAATCAACTTCAGTATGACAAAGTCGAAATCCACTCCACTGTCAAAGTGATGGAATCAATCAACATTCAATCAGCTTGTTTATCCTGAACGATGTACATCGAAATGCCGCCCTATTCAATAAACAGGGAGTTGTTATCACTTAAGTGATATGTTTCGTTATGTATTCCCATACTGTTTACTGCAGTATAAGTGAGATCTGATTCAGTTTCTTGAATGACCACACTTTTGAAAATTATTTAAGTTCTACTTTAGTAAACTGCATCCTAATAATTTGATTTCAGATTAAAACATCTCATTCAATTTGTGTAATCCGCTTTCTGGTACTAAGAAATACTGTATTTTTACATATTAGATATAAATCTATCAGTACCAGTTTGATGTGTCGGGTCATGAGTTAACTAACATAATGATTATATATTTATTGTCATTACAAGTGTCATTAAGTGTCATTTATGCCATTATAATGTTCTCTGATCCATTTCATCGTACAGCATTTATTTCATTCAATGTTTTGAATCTCACATGATGACATGAGAAATGTTACTATTCCAGTTCAGTTCGTTCTTCAAGTGTTCCAACCAATATCGTCATTATGGTTACAAACGGCCTGATTTTAATACCTATCAACTTAGATATTATATATGAGTATATGAACACACATTCACACAAAACATACGTAATTTGTGAATTCTGTTCAAACGAAAAAGAAATATCTAATTTGATAAGAAACACTACATAAAGTATCTTCCCTCACTCTGAGAGAAGCATGGCATTATTCGTTAATTTTTAAATAATTTTATCTGCATAAAAGAAGGGATTATAAAAAATCTGAAACAAACTTCCGTATACAACGATTTCACCAACATTGCGACATTGACCATGGAATCATGTTAATTTCAGTCTGATTTTAATGTCATAACTATGCGAGGTTCCTCATTCACACATTCATACAAATTGACAGCTCAACACAAAACAATATGCAACCAACCAAATTCAATACAACACAACTTTCACCGCCTGTGCATACCACACTGTTGATTTTGTATATTTGTAAATATGCACTATTGTGTATGCATATGATGTTACATGCAATATTAGTAAAATTTAAAATGTCACCATATTTTCAAATAACTCATATTCGTATATTTGCTATTGCTATATGCAATAAACAAAATGTGATAAACTTTACTGTTTACCAACAAGCTGCATACTTGCTTTTCTACAACAGACTATAGCTTTAATCCCCATTGTTGTAACGATTAGTACGGTCCAGTAATTTCAATCTCAAAACAGTACGTGCAGGCAAATAGAGAACATCCCGAAGCTTGGAACTTGGTTTTCCTTCCAAAGGCCGTCTTTACTGACTTGACTCACTCATGAATTAACAAGGCAGTACGCCTTGTTAATTGGTGAATCTTAACTGCCTTGAATCACTCATCAATTAACAGGGGATTAGGTCTTGGTGCGTGCAAACTACATTCATTTACCATACCCCACCAGTTATCTCCCCTTGTGGACGTTTCCAAAATTGGAAATCTCATATTTCCAAAATTGGAAATGTTTGGAAACATCATCTTTCCAAAATTGGAAATGTCTTGGAAACATCATCTTTCCAAGACATTTCCAAGCTTGTAAATGTGGACTTTTTTCCAGTGATGCATTACTGAAAGGATACTTCATGTGGATGTTTCCCTAATATGACAGTATGTGGAATTTGCATGGTTTATTATGATCCAGTAACGTAATGCATCTATGTGTATAGCTGATGAGTGCTTGACTTGTTAATTACCAGGAGCATGTATCAGTATAGTGGAGCGAACATGGAATGTATTTTTGTATGTGTAAATAGTCAACAGTGTTATGTTATATAACAGCTACAGCTTCCATCCAGTGTAGATGATATAGCTGCACCCCCTTTTTGCCATATTAATAAATTTTTATTGCCTAACTTGTCTTAGTTGTTTTTGAGGGCATAAAGTATACACTTAAAAAAACCCATTTGAGTTTCTTTCTTACAGAGTATATATTTTCATGCATATTGTTTTTATTAATTAATATTCTGAAAGGGCAGTTTTTTCATTTTTATTAGTTAATAATCGGAAAGGGCAGCTTATATGGTGCATGTGTAGTGATTGTAAGTGGTAGCCATTTAAAGTGCTCGTAAAATTATGTATACCACCTAAGAAGTTTACAGTGCCATCTCAACAGCAATCCTTGACACCTGACCGCCTCCATGGTGTAGTGGTTAGGCGTCCGACCGCGTCATACCAAAAGACGTTAAAATATGGTACTTGTTGGTCCCTGCCTGGACTGGTCGGCTCGGAGTCAGTATAATGTGTCTGAGTGGGGTATTCATGCTTCACTGCGGCATGGTATCTGAGTGGGCTAGCACTATAAAACCAGCTGCAGTCTGGGCTAGTACAAGCAGCCGCACATACACATACACACGCATGCACGTCGTCATATGAGCGAAATATTCTCAAGAACGACGTTAATCCCAATTTCACCTCACCTCACCTCCTTGACACCTTGGTTTTAGTGAGACATGGTGAGCTTGTTTGGACTTCTTAAATCATTCATGGTACTGACTAACTCATTGTTTAAACTGTGTAAACAGACTTTGTTCTTGACAAAATATTAAACTTTGTTTGAAATTGACCAAGAGTGTGAGTGATCCAGAGGTTTTCCCCCCATTAAACAGGGCACATAGCCTCGATGTAAACTGTTTTCTTTAGACAATACTGAGTCCAGCCAAAACAGCTACGGTTTGCCTTGGTAAGATTAATCTGAAAATAAGAAGTATATAATAATGAACTACACTGTTCTCTTCCATAATCTTTTTACCTGAACTAATGAACTACACTGGTTATATTTTTCCTTATCCTGACTCATGCTGTATTGATTATCTCCCTTTCCCTTTCGGCGGTTATGTGGAAACCTGAATCCCTTAGTTCCCAAGAACAGTCAAAATTCACTCACCCATTGGGAGCCCCAATTTCCTGCCAAAACCATCTCCACGTGACCTGAGCCAAGCTCTCCTCACTTTCTCCTTCATCACCCAAGCGGACGGTTTCTTGGGTCCATTTTATATCCTTCATAATTTTGGCCAGATTTTTTAAATTAAGGCAGTGAATGGTATTTTAGGATGTATTTATTTACATAAATTACGGCTAATTTCAGGTGACTGATCTTGCATCACGTTGTAAATATTATGCATATTTATCTGAATTTGCATTTGATAAATGTTTGTTATCCCGTTTAGGCAAGACTATGGACAAGCTTAGGCATGACAGCAGGGTCGTCGCTGACAAGGGTGTTTCTCAGTCACCTGGTCATGAGTTGTCTCCTCTACCATCATCCGGGAATGCTAGCATTCCCTTGTCTGCTGAGTTTTTGGAATCTCCCTCCAGGTTTATTCCCGTCTCTAGCCCTTCTCTAAGGGGAAGTCTCCTCTTAGGGAAGGGTCTGATGTCCAGAAGCTGGCGAAGAAGTAGAAGTCATCTTCATCATCTTCGAAGTCGTCTACATCGAAACCGTCGTCATCGTCCCAGTCTTCACGTTCTATGAGACCTTTGAAATCTCGTTTGCGAACGATCTGACACCTACTGACGAAGTAGATGATATATCTTACCCACAGCCACCGATTTTCGAACCATATTTGATTGTGAGGTCTATGCACCAGACGACATCAACCAGCTCAACAGGGCTTGCAAACCCTTCTATGCAGAATCGTCATGCAGCAGCTACAGCATCGGTCAGGCAGTCAACACTACCTGGTGCCTCTACTGTTCCAGCAGGGTTCGCGAACCCTCTTGTCATCAACCAGCCTACATCTGCACAGTCTACTCATGCCATTCAACAGTTAGAGAATGGGTTCGCAAACCCTTCTACGTAGAATCATCCTACGGCAGCTACAGCGTCGGCCATGCAGTCTACACTACTCAGTGCCTCAACTGTTCTAGTAGGGTTCGCGAACCCCTACATCAGCAGCCTGCCAGCTTCTACACAGCCTACCCATGTCGCTCAATGGTTCTTAAACCCCTCTATGCAGGCGACCACTCTAAATCAGCGCCTCAGCCTAGCAGCAGTGTTCTAGTTAACCTGTTAACGTTCGCGAAAGCAACCCTGTCTCTGGCTTCAAGCACCTACCTGACTCCTATGTTGCCTGCCCATCTCCGCGCATCGTCTGCAAATACTCCACATCAGCTCCAGGATACTACTGCGCATCCCATTAACCAGCAGTATTTTGTGGCTAAAGTCACAAGACAAGTTGTCATTGCGATGCAGCAGCAGCAGTTGTCTACAGAACTCCAGTGTCCCCTTAGCTAATCTAAACTAGTGGCATCCCTCGGAGACTCTATCCAGGATGAAGCCCGGGCATCGGATGATAACAGCCAGGAGGATCCGGACTTGTCCATCTATATGGACACTGAACTATTAGCTTGGATTGCTGACAGTCTGCCGATATCATCGCCAGCCGTGACTCCAACCCGGCAGAACCAGCAGGGTTCGTGAAGCAGTGAGCCAGTTTCTACGCATGTCGCTCAAACAGTTCGTGAACAGGTTCATGAACCCCTCTATACAGCCGACAATTCGACACGACTACTAGAAGGGCGTTCTTCGGCTTTGCAAGATCCCGAGCCTTCAACGAAGCCATGATCAATGCCCTGCAGCCCCCGAAGACTGACCAGGACTGTCACTCAGAGAAAGAATCAAGAGTTCATCTCGGGACCATCCCTATCTACCTCAGTGGGCATCACCCTCTTATGTTGTCAAGGTCCCCTAGCACCATCTACCTGGCGGAACCTCTACACGAAGTGCCTGCTACACCAACACTGTTTGATGGCTGCATCCGGCAGATGTCCAGAGACTCTAGAACAAGATGCTGATCAAGTCAGCGCAGACAATGAACAACATGCACAGGCAGACTACTCAACGTAACCAGTTCCCGGTCCAAATTTGCGGGGATACAGAAGGCCAAGGATAAGAGGTATCTGTCATCCCGGGGTGGAAGATCTCAAGGATTTTGTCGCACATCCGATATCTCCAGAGGTCACTCCAGCGAACGTCACGGCCCTGTCAACTTCCGGCCATCCCGTCATGGAAGTTCAGATTCGTAACGACCAGTCCATTCCAACCCCAGCCGTTCCTGTGCAACCGTCAACCGTGTCTGGACTTCTAGGCTACAACTGGGAGAAGTGGAGACTACTAGAAGATGGCTACATCGTTTGAGAGCAGTGAGATCCAGCTCTCACTGTCAACCCACAGGTGCACAAATACCCCGAGTGTAACACGCATCAAGTTGACCGAGGCCATCAACTCGCTGCAAGTAAAGAACGCCATAGAGATCCTGGATCAATGCAGTCTCACACCCGGCTTCTATTCTCCAATTTTCCTGGTACCGAA